CGAAAGTAATAAGGACTATATTGAATATACCGGTATATTAAATGAATTACACCAGATATAGACTTAGGACCTGGCCTTGATAAATTTAAACGAGAAGCAATNAGAGGATTGTGTCGTGTATATGTCGGGGAAGAAGTGGTTCACATTATTAGATTTGAAAGATGGGTTTAACCAACTGACCATGGATGAGGAATCGGTTCCATTAACCTCATTTGTAACCCCACATGGGCAATTTGAATACCTTCGAATGCCGTTTGGACTTAAGAATGCACCGGCAAATATTCAGAGATTCGTCTACAACATTTTTCGCGATTTGATAGATTCAAAGACCATTATAGTATATATCGATGATATCTTAATTGCATCTACTGACTTCGAATGACACCTTCGTACCGTGGGAAAGTGTTAGAGAGGATAGTAAAAAAAAGCACTGAAAACGTGAAACAACAAAAACGGGCATTGTAATTAACTTTTTTTTTTTAATTAAATATCGATGTATTGATAAAAAAAAATGTGATTCAGTCTAAAATCGAGAGATTTTGTAATAAAAACGTTAACTTAGATATTTATCGAAGTATTGATTTTTATGGGAAAAGCGGCGCAGGCGAAAATTTTTAAAACATCGCACGATTTTTTGTTAATAATTTTCATTATTTATCGAAGTATTGATTTTTATGGGAAAAGCGGCGCAGGCGAAAATTTTTAAAACATCGCACGATTTTTTGTTAATAATTTTCATTATTTATCGAAGTATTGATTTTTATGGGAAAAGCGGCGCAGGCGAAAATTTTTAAAACATCGCACGATTTTTTGTTAATAATTTTCATTATTTATCGAAGTATTGATTTTTATGGGAAAAGCGGCGCAGGCGAAAATTTTTAAAACATCGCACGATTTTTTGTTAATAATTTTCATTATTTATCGAAGTATTGATTTTTATGAAAAAAGCGTGGCAGGCGAAAATTTTTAATAAAAAATCGCGCGATTTTTTATTAAAAAATTTCATTATTTATCGAAGTATTGATTTTTATGGAAAAAGCGCCACAGGCGAAAATTTTTCATAAAAAATCGCGCGATTACAAATCAAATTATCGATGTATGTTCTCTACTTTTGTGTACTTTTAACTANGAAAAGCGCCGAAGGCGAAAATATTTAATAAAAAATCGCGCAATTTTTTATTAAAAATTTTCATTATTTATCGAAGTATTGATTTTTATGGAAAAAGCGCCACAGGCGAAAATTTTTCATAAAAAATCGCGCGATTACAAATCAAATTATCGATGTATGTTCTCTACTTTTGTGTACTTTTAACTATAATAACACCAGTAAATATTATTTCCCCCCGAAAAAAATTAAACCGTTATGATTAGGAGTAAGACCCCTATCGATCCTAATATTATTATTTTTAATAAGAGCAATGTACGTATTGTACACTTTTACCCCTAATTATACGCACTTATTTGTGGTGTATTTTTTTTAACGTATGGTAGCATATGTTTTGTGTTACTGTCAGCCATTGTTATTTCTGCTTGTTTGTGAAATGTGCAAACGTTTGTGAAGACATTTATAAACGCGTTGTACCTAATTAATTAATTAATAATTGTATATTAAGGTACAAGGCGCATCAATTACAGGTGATAGCGATAGAAGCTATGCTTGTTCTTATGCGCACGTTTGTGTCAAATTATCGTCCGTTTTGCTTTATTTACTTATCCACGTATACATACACATATACGTATATATATACCCTGCAAAAAAATGCTCCCGAAATCTTTAAGAGTGTCGGAAATCTGTTACGATTCTTTTAGAAATCTGTAAAGAAAAACATATGAAGCAGTGTACAAGAACTAGTAAAGAAATTTCTGTACCATTTCTTAGAAAATTCTTTAAAAAATTGTGAAACCTTTCAGAATTCTATGAAATCCTGGTATGCAAGGTATACATATACATACGAATATGAATAGATAAAGAAAATGTTGATGACACCAGGAGTTCATACCAACGGTAAATGTTGTTTTTGTACGATTGCTACAACCTGTAGTTGTTGAATCATGATTAAGGTATTACAAACGCATGCGAACCTTGTAAGAATAATATATTTGTGTAAATAAAAGTGATAGGTGTGGAGTTATAATAAGATGTGGTGATAGCAGGCGGGATATTTTAACAACAATAACTTAAGTACTATTAGCAACAACATTGTGAAAGTGATAAATATAGTTAAAGGAGACCTCCATTAGTATCCCCACCGAGTTTCATAAAAAAATTCACTATACTTTGCACGGAATAGCAATTGGTTCCGTAATGGAAATCTCAGCCGCTGCAGCCGAAACTAAATTTTAAGTTGGTACTTAGCCAGAGAAGTCGAAACTAAAAGTGTGTTTGCATTGTTCAACTTTGCATTCAACATTTGCGTTCAACTCAGCGTAGGGTTGCACGAAAAAAAAGTTGAAGGCCTAAAAATATCAAGATATGAAAAATTATCAAAATATTCGCCATAAAAAGGTGTTTTCATTGTTCTACTTTGCATTCAAGTTATGGTTGAACGGAATTTCAACTAATCGCTTTGAACAAAGTTGGTCGCCAGCCAACTTTTGCCATTCAACTATTTTTTCGTGCAACCCTGCGTTGAGTTGAACGCAAATGTCGAACGCAAAGTTGAACAATGCAAACACTGCTTAAGGCGACTATGGACAGCTTTAGTTGTGACTTAGAATAGTTTCGACTTAGTTGAGTACTAAGGCCCTGTGCCAATTGATAGAAAATAGACAATTTTGACGGATCAATGTAAAAATTTGACACTTCTCGTGGTGAATACGAACGTCAAAATTTTACCTAGCTCATGGGGCTAGGTAAAATTTTGACAGCTTATAACCATATATACACATAATATTGCTTGGCGGTAATAAGGAGTGAACATGAAAATGAATGCTGAAACAGCATAAAAATTACTTGAAATTATAAAATAAATATAAATTTAAAGAATTTCAGCAACACACAAAAATAAAGATTTCGCACGAGCGTTTGTATGGGTTTTCAACTGTCAAAATTTTACTCTGCATTTGGCACAGCAAAATTCAATTTATTTGTACACCATAGCAAATTTTTCCACCCCGTCTCACCACTGAGAAAAAAGTCACCGATTAGCACAGGCCCGAAATATGTCTATGAATTTGCGCCATCGATGCATCGATGTTTGACGTTGTAAACATCGATTAAAATATCGATGTATTTTTGCCAAAAACATCGATGTATCGTGAGCTCCTCTATTGATTGCATCATAAGGAGTATTTCATCGTTAAGGTTAGTAGCTGTTATCTTTTATTTAAGAATTGTAATGGTAAAACCAATCTCTTGTTTAGAAATGGCGCTGTTTAGAACTATGAGCTTGTTCTTACCTGTTGTCAAAGCGGAAGACGAAGATGAGATTGTCGATCCCCAAGCTGCGCTGAGGGTAATTAAACCATCTTAAATTGGGGAGTGAATTCCTTAATGTAAAATGCAAGGCACGAGTTTCTTATCTAATAGGGAATTTACATGAGGCGACTTTTCAGGCGATTTTTAGTTGAAAGCAACCATCGCCTGGTGTAAACAGCCTTTCAACTAATCGCTTTCAACGAAGTTCGACGGCTGCCTACTTTCGTTCAACTTTTGGCTCAACTAATCTCCTGTGAAAGTTGAATCATGTAAATTCCGTATAAACCACACTACAAGAACTAATCTTGCGTAATCTAGTTGAAAACTAGCATCTAACCGTTGTTGCAAACATTTAGTTCCGGTTGTTCAATATCTGGTTAACCCTTTATGGCGCAAGGTCATTAATTCTCTTAATTTTATGGGGAAACTTTCCTGTATGATCGTTCGTTGAAGGTGTGGTGGGCGAAGGGGGAGTGGACGTGGCACCTCCAACCAATCTTTTTGGACAGGGCATGAACTGCTATTGACAAAAATGCAGCCCCGGACCACCTAGGCCCTCTATGGTTCCCTACGGACACCTTAGAAAAATGGCCAAAAATCGCAATTTTTACTTGCGTCCACAGTATTTTTGCGTAGAATTTCTTTCTGCATAGGCGGCCTTCGGCCCGCTTAGGGATTATAACCCTTACTACGTAGAATTCTCCTTTCTGTGTGACCTAACTGGGGCTACCGCCTCAGTGATTTAACTTTGGGAGAGGATGAGGGTAACTAGAATTCCCTTTCTGTGTGGTAAACCTGGGGCTGCCGCCCCAGTGATGTCTATTTTGGTTACTGGGTGTTTTATAAAAATGTCTCGTATATAAAAATGTGTATATAAAACTGGGGAAAATTTTAGTTTGGCATCCCCCGCGTACAAAAAAAAGGTGTCTATGGGGGGGTAGGGGGAGTTCTCGTGATTGCAAATATATATACTTTTAGCCGCAGGAGGCTTATAGTTTTTAAATTATTTGTTGTTAAAGTTTGTAAATTGAACTAACCTCTCGGCGCTATTTCACACAATAAACACTATGGCCCCTATTATGAGTTGCATTCGATTTTCGACTGTGGTCGAAAGTGCTGAGCGAACGAATTTTCATTTGGTATTATGGCGCTTATTCGATGAAGAATAGCGCTATTGTGAATTTCGCCCGTTTAGGTTGTTCACAATAGTATATTTTTCACCGCTGAGAAGCTTTGTTTACAAATCGAGCAAACTAAATAGTGTGCTTATATATATTTATGTAAATTTGTTCTAATTAAAATGAAGTAAAAAAGAAAGCAAGTTTATAAAAACGTAGTAAAATGAGTACAACGAGTTCTGGTTCAACGATTCGTCGGAGGATGAGAGCTAAGTAAACTGGCCAGGAGTAGCAAATGTTTAAGAGAGTTTAAGTTTATTAGTCTTTCGAATATATTTTGATATAAAATATATTTAAGAAATTTGTCTACAGATTCATTAAAAAGTTCCGACCATCTAAAGAAGCGTTTGTGAGCCAAATCTATTTAAAATATTTTAAAACTATCAACAGCGCTACGATTTTGTTCTCAGAGATCG